ATTGGAAATTAAAGCACATGTTTTCTCCATATCCCAAGATGTGTATTTTTCCCCCAATGACGTGATGTTTTCAAAGCATGCCATCTATCTGCTCCTGTTCCAGCCCTTTGTCAAATGTTAGAACTCAATGTGGCCCACGAATCAAAAAGTTTGCCCACCCCTGAGCTAGACACTTAAACTGGGTAAACTAAAAACTAGGAACCTAAAACATGAGACACAAACATGAAATTAAGAACTGAACATGGAAAGAGAAGACCAGTAACCTGACAGGGTCAAAGGGAACCTGAAACAATACATATACACACACGAAGGTGATTAGGAGAAGCGGGAACGATGAGGAACACAGCTTGGATCAATTCAGCCTGATGAGAAGGGAAGGAAGCAAAACTGTCAAAGTAAAACAGGAAAATGCTAACATGCAGACTAAAACACACGGCATGACACAGGGACCGGGAGGAAGGAACGCATATGGGAACAAGACAGAAAAAGTGAAAACATGGAAACAGTTGAAGGAGACAAGACACGGAGGTAGAGAGACAAGATTGGATGGAGAGAACACAATATTGCAATATGTGTGCGCAAAATAATAGAAAATAGAATAAAAAAAGTATGACAATAAAAATATGTAAATATAAAATTAAACTAAAACTATCTGATAGTGATAGAATATATATGTGAAAGAGTGAGAGTGAAAGAATGAATTTTGGCTTGCACAAAGCAACAGCTTTCTCTGGGAGGATCTGTTCACAGGAAAACAATAGGTGAGAGTCTTTCCAGCAGGTAAGTAACAAATTACAAAGACAGAAGCAGCCAGGCTGCACTAACTGTAGTGATACAACAATCCAGAAAAGACCAAAGGTCTGCCACTGCTCTTAAAAATGACACCTGCACTGAGATTTGCATCGTGACTTGAAAGAACAGACCCTTTCCATTTTAACAGCATTGTCACAAGAGCTGTTTCTTGTAGAAATAAGACATTATGTTATTATCAACTTACCATCCTTTGCTTGATTTAATCTCTTTTGCGGTTCATTTTTAAAGTTTCTAGATACATGCCATCCATAAAGAGTAGAAATGGGGGAGAGACAGAATAGTAAGTTACTTCCTAGAGAAACACACGCCTCTGTATCGCCCACATTTTACTGTGATGCTTTTGAGGTTTTTTTTAACCTCTTTTCTTTCCCTAGTTTTGTTGTTTTTTAACCAAAATCTTTCCTGTTTACTAAGCTGCTCATATCCTACCATACCTCTGATTATTAATACTGAATTCTACCAATACTGAAGTCTACCAAAGGTATCAGAAATTCACTGATCTCTTTTACTGAGTGATACTGTTCATCTTCCTGTGACAAAGTATCTGAAAACTGAGACAGTT